AATTGGTGTCTTGAGACGCAAAAGTTAACCCTCGCCCGTAAACGGCGATCTGCCACCTTCGCCCATGCAGGGGGGGGGGTTGGTGCGACCCCCCCTTGGCGTTTGAAAACGGAGCGTCGTAGAGCTTAGCGGAAAAGACCAACGGATTGCTCTCGCCGAGGTCTCGCGATTGGTGGTATATTTTTTGGTCCTAGGTCAACATTTGACCTACTTTTGACCGGTCAAAGGTCAAATTTTCGGAAAAATAGACTTTTTTCAACTTTCGGCGACGATTGCGGCAAAACGGTGGGAGATATCGGCTTGAAACCTTCACTATCGTGTTCCTTGATCAATTCTCTATCGTTTTGTATGTATTTCGTTTCCCTAGCTCTAAAAATGGCGCGTTGGGAGCGCCGGAAGTCGGCAAGGTCACAGTCGGCGGCAGAAATTCGAAAAATAAAATTTTAAATTTTTGAAATCTGATTGTATTTTTGGATTTGGGAGGTCCATTTGCTCCCTATAGAAGCTAATATTGCTCCATATTCCCATTGAGGTGACAAGAATTAGCAAAATAGTGGTTCGGGCGCTTTTCAAAAATAGTACCGGACGCTGTTCCTCTTGTGACGTCATAGCTCCGTGACCTCACCTGACCCGGTCAAGTTTCTTATACTATATGATAGCCAATACTTGCCCCAACATGCATGGGAAGTTTCATCACGATCCATCAACCGATGTCCGTACCTACCACCGGCAGGAAACCTCGGGCGTTGGCACTCAGTTTGTGAAAATCCGGCCGGAGGCTGTTCCCTTTGTGACGTCATAACTCCGTGACCTGACATGACCCGGTCAAATTTTTTTCATCAAAAGATGCGCAAGGTTTGCCCCATAAGGTACCAAAAATTTGGCGGCGCTGCGCGCCGCCGTTTTTGCACTATTTCCGAAAAGCCTCAGGGGGGGGGGGGGGGGGCGGGTTGCACCAACCCCCCCTACATGGGCGAGGTTTAACTACACTCGCTCAGCCGCGCGATGGTCCATGCTCCCACCCCGCCTCACTCCCCAGCCCTCGCCAGCCGCCGCACCGCGCCGACCCGAGCCATGCCTCCGGGCTCGGCCCTCACCGCTGCGCTGACGTCACAGGCGACCCACATCGCCTTCTAGCCACCGACCCAGACCGGTGTCATACGGTGTGGGTAGGCTGTGCCGCTTGACAAGTAAGTGAAGCGGCACAGTCTACCGGTACCAGGCGGCTGCTGCCAATGCTGAGCCATAGCAGACCGGTGGATAAAGAATTGTAGAACATCAATCTGCCCCCGAGTGTACCAGGGTGCTATCCGTTAGGGATGCGGAACGGCTGCGCACGAACTGGAATACGGAACGCCAGCCACTGACGTTCCCAGATGCCGTAAAGGGCATGCTTTTACATTTCAAAGTAAGAATTAGGAGAACAACTTTATCACCACTGCTCCTCTCTACGTGGCACGTCAGTTGATATCTGCCTAGTGCCTACCTACCTTTACGAAATGTGAAGGATATAACCAGACAGCTTTAATCCTGTCCATGGCGTAAAATCTAAAGCACAGCGCGCCCATATATGGATGCCACTCATATCGAGATCGGTCCGCCCGTCTCGACACCAGGTCCGAAAGGCTTGGACAAATACCACGCATGCTGCCGAACAGGCTCCGTGAAGATGTCCGCGGGACTCCGTGTGAACGACAATGACGGTGTTCTACCTATTTACCGAGCACTCGCCCATAAACTCGCTCAGTGTTTATTAAATTCACTACAATGGTGCAATACAGCTAAGCCAACGGCTTCAGTTTCTAACTCCTTTTGGAGGTGCAACATCTGCAGTGCTCCTGCGACACGTGTCGCGCAACGCATGCGCTGTCTATGTAAACGCAACTGCACAATACCTACATATAGGCGCACTTATCTGGCGAGCCACTCCTTCATTTGTCACCGCTGCTCTCTTTTACGGCCTTGCCGCTGCTGCTTTCTCCTGTGGGTGAATGTGTCGCTTGTTCTTCGTAGGCGTTGCGCTTATTACTCAGCCTGTGCGCCATCGTCTCGAGCAGCAGCAGCAGCAGCGCGACGCCGGCGCCGGTGAGCAGCACCTCCAGCACGGGCCTGCACTCGGAGAGGCCGAGCGGCGACCAGTGGGAGCGCGGCCGCGCCTCCAGGTCACAGCGCCGCAGGCCGCGCAGCAGCCGCTCGGGCAGTCGGCGCCGCCTCAGCCGGTCCAGCACACCCGTCTCGATGAGTCGCAGCAGGGCGGCGTCGAAGGCGCGCCTCTCGACCAGACCGTGGCGGAACGGCAGGCCTCCCCAGTGCCGCCCCAGACTCTGCGGGAAGGCGCAGACGGGAGGACAGCCGTTCCACGAGCACATCTGCAGGATATCCACCGACGACAGGAAGAAGGCGAACTTGCGCTCGGTGGCCCTGGACACCCACTCCGAAGCGCTGATGCTCAGAGACTGCGACATCGACGAGCTGAAGTCCATGCCGGGCTGGGGATGGTTTTGCAGCATGTCTTCCGCGATCGAGCGTGGAACGACGGACCACTGCCAGTCCTCCAGTCGGGTGACGTCGTCCGGCTGCGCGAACGGCATGCGCGCCCGCTCCATGGTCACCTGCGACAGCAGGTCGGCCGTGTAGAACTGGAACGACAGCATGCCGACGCCGAGCACCGCGGCAGCAGCCACGCACTGCGAGAGCCGGCCGGAGCGCAGCGGCTCACAGCGGGTGCAGAACGAGCCGAGCGCCAGCAGGCAGACTGTGGAGAGGCGCGAGATGGCGGCGCCGCTGGGCCGCAGCGCCAGGTGTCCGCCGGCGGCGGCCAGCAGCAGCAGGCCGACGGCCAGCGCGCGCAGGCGAGCGCTCTCCAGGCTGCCGCTGAACGACGGCGACGACTGCCGCTCCGGAGTTCTCACGAACATTTTATTTGTGTACTGGATGATCGGTATTGAAAGGTGCACGGCCCGATGCCTTTCCCAAGTCCAGCCAAAATAGTTGGTGGCTAAATCAACCGAACCATTCTCAAATAGCTTGAAGAAGTGGAGCATATAGTTGTTGGTGATGACAGTCTCGTTCATGCGGAATCCCATGGCATCCTGAAGAAGGTCGAAGATGTCTCTCACTAAAGCGTCACTGGAGTACACAGACGGTGGGTTCGGGTAAAACCAGAGGAAATTGACGACTCTGTAGGTTTTGTTGACGACTCGGAGGTCCCTCAAGCCGGCCGGAGGTGGCGCCGGCAGCGGCAGCGGGCTCACCCGGCCGGCCCGGCAGTTGCCGACGGTGGTCACCAGCGGCCCGGAGTCGGCGTACTGGGCCACGCGCAGCAGCCGGCCCGAGTCGGGCTGCAGCAGCTCGGCGCCGCTCAGCCGGCCGGCCAGCCGCTGCAGCCGGTCCAGCGGCACCGGACTGGGTGGCAGCAGCAACAGCGGCCGCGCCGGCGCCGCCCGCTCGGGCGCCGCCAGCTGGATGGTGCCGCCGCCGCCGCCGGCGCGGGCCGGGGAGCGGCGCGCGAACACGGCCCGTCCGGAGAGCTGCAGCAGCAGCGCCGGAAGCAGCCAGACGGGGTCGGGCGGCTGCCAGAGCAGCTCGGCGGCCGGCCAGCCGTGCGCGGCCGCCAGCTGGCCGGCGCACCGCGCCACATCCGCCGCAGACAGCGCCATCAGAGGACGCCGGTCACGTCCAGCCGAGGTCTGAACACATCTCCTCGGTCCGTGATGAGCGAGGACAGCACTGTGTCCGCCACACCGCAAACAGAGAGAACCCCCACCGCCCGGCTCCACCGTCGGTCGCGACGTCAAGGGCCGACGAAGCGCGAGCTCAATGTGTCGGCCACGCCGGCCGTCACAGGGGCCGCACTTGTGGCTATAACTCAGCTCCTCGCCATGCCACAGCGCACCGGCTGGAACCGACGTCCTGTGCAGCATGAATGCAAGGAGGAAATCACACATATTCCAAATTCCGGGATGGGTGGACTTTAGCGTATTTCGACTTTCGGTGGACTTGAAAACTACGCATGCTGGGAGGATGACTTTTAGATGGCAGCACACGTCAGGTAGGTAGCAAGAAAATATCAACTGGCCGCTGTCCTATGGCGGTTAGTTTTGATGTGGTAGCCGGTCGAATTTGGGTGCAAAAAAGCGTTTCGGTGGACTGTACTTTTAGGTGGACATATTTTTTTGTCTTGAGATAACGGTATAAGTGGACATTTTTTTTTGCTTTGAAATGTAGTGCATAGGTGGACGTACATTTTTGTTTTTAAATTGCACTTTAAGTTGGCATATTTTTTTACGTGCTTTATTACAAGCGAGCCAGCGGAGCGAGCGAAGCAAGCTTTCGTAGAATGGCGGAAAATTCTGAGTATGAGCAACTTGGCAATGTATTTCAATGCGTCAACGACCAACGTTGAAGTGTACTACACGTGCGCACGTGGAGGGTGCCGCTTCCAGATCTCAGGAACGGCTGGACCGATTGTGCTCAGATTTGATACACCGATAGCGACCGGTTGGCAGGGTGCCGTGCAAAAGTCAGTTGGAATACCCCCACTCAGTTTCGCACTTGCAGGGCTCATCCTTTTGCTCGCTCGCGTATCGCCCCGAAAGGCGTCTTACTGGTGTAGGCGCGGTCCCGCTCGGCGTTTTCACGCCCCCCCCCCAGGTTTTCGCTGACATCTCAAAACGGTTTGGCACAGCTTATTATACGTCTTTTCCGTACAGGCTTTGAAAATTTTAGCTCCAGGTCATCAAAGGTCAGGTCACCAGGTCAAGTTAAGTGACCCAACCCCCGAAAATAAATTCAAACACGCGCCCTGACCATAAGATACACGGCCCCACGGCCCCAGAGTTGGGGGGGGGGCAAGCTGCCCCTACTGCCCCCTCCCCGGTTCCCGCGCCTATGTTTGAGGTCATATTATTCATCATTCGACGCGTCTTGATGAGAGAAATACAATGGTGTTTGAAATGTAGACGGGTCCCGCCTCGCCAACCCGGCTCCGACACGCAACCTTCACAGACGAGCTTGTATTCCACAACCGCCGCTCGCGCCGGCCAACCAGGACTCTCTGAACATGCGAGCGACAACAAACCGAAGAGACATCGGAAATTAAGGTACTAGGGCTGCAACTAAACAGAAAATAAAGGAACAGCGCCGTAAGTTATTATGACAATATAAAATAAATACTTAAATACGTGAATTAATCAGATATAAAATCGGACAAGTGACATCGCAGAAAACAATAAGAAACAGAAGAGAAGCCGGTACGAAATCAAACGGTGCGAATAAATCGACCGACTATACCCGACCCTCTTAACGAAAAGAAGCGAACATCGGCAACAAGCAACATTAAATTCGGAGATAGCACATATCAAAAGGCAGAAGGCGACGCAACACAACGGCGCGTGGCACTCCGTCCGAGCGCGGCACTCAGGCCACGGCAGTGAGCGGCACTCATGGCAGAGCGCAGCAATCACCACGCTGCGCGCGGCAGCCACCGTCCGAATACGGCACGCTCAACAGCGCGGCGCGCGGCACCCACCGCGTACGCAGCGCTCGGCACAATCACTGCACAGTGCGCGGCGCCATCACTGCAGCGCACGGCACCGCGCAGGTCGCGGCACCCTCGCCGCGGCCACGATCACGGGACCACGGAGGGCCCAGCCACGGGAAGCACGGCCGCAGAGCACGACCGCAGAGCACGGCCGCAGAGCGCGGCCGCTGGCAGCTCGGCCGCGGAGCTCAGCAGCGGGCAGCTTGGCCGCAGACGTCGCAACCGTGGAGCACGGCCGCGGACAGCACAGCCACGACAAAACTGTGAACAGAACGCATGAAAATAGCCATGTCCTTTAGCACCGCTCAGCACTCCATTGAGACCACGCTGGACAGATTCGCCGATTTGAGGCGCTGGATGGCTGCATGCCATGTCGATCGGCGCGTTCCGTCAACAGAACAGCCAGACGGGCGTCCCCAACCAGCTTGCCACGACATTACTAAACAATTCGCCAGCAACGACCACAGCAAAATCGCAGCAAAAATTATCAGTTAGCAGCTGATCACGCGGCTCACATCACAAACGATGCACGATGAACACATATTTACAAAGACCTTAATTAGGGACAGAATCGGTTAGGCGGTCTCGACGCTCTCTCAGAGCACTGCAGGGCCGGCACCGGAGCTACTGACCTCTGTGCGTCGGTAGACACAGCAGCAGCTTGCCAGCCAGGAACCTCCCGGGCAGCGTCGACCACGCCAGACGGCGCAGGACTCGCCGGAGGAAACTCGTCGCCGGCGGGGTTGTTGTTGTTGTTGTTGTTCCCCCTGGGACCTCCTTACGGAGGACCATAGCCGAGAGGCTCCCTATGGCGAAGGTAGCCGGCCTCCAAGGCAGCCACCAGGTCGGCGTCCCGCAGCCGCGACGGGTCGACGTAAATGCTGCCAGTTCGCCGCAGGCGGGCGCCAGCGAGGGCCGGGCAGCGGAGCAAGACGTGCTCCGGCACGTCCGCCTCCTCCCGGCACACGGCGCAGAGCGCCGCGGGGCACCGCTTATCGGGGCACTGCAGGCATGCCACGGAGGGGTGGCGGCCGATCCGGTGCAGGTATTCGAGCGAGCGGCCCCAGTGGCCCGCCCTCAACTGGTGCACCGAGATGGCGGCCTCTCGGTCCTCTCCGGGGATGGGGAGCGGCAGGGTGCTCCCGAAGATAGTCTTAAAAAAGGAGTCGGGCCAGTTTTCGCGCCACTGACGTGTGGCCGTCCGATGAACTGCCCGTGTCAGGGACCGAGCGTCCGAGGGCACGGCGCCCTGGGGCAGGGTGGCCGCTTGTTTGGCCAGGGCGTCAGCGCGCTCGTTCTCCGCCAGCCCGCAGTGAGCAGGGACCCACTGCAGGGTCACCTGCCGGCGCTCGGCAATGTCCAGCAGCGTCCTCCAGATCGCCGCGCCGATAGTGGTGGTCTGGGCGGCCGCTCCCGCGCTGAGGAGGCTCAGGGCGGCTCGTGAGTCAGAGCACGCCACCAGCGGGGCGGGGGACGGCTCATCCCGGACCCGCTCCAGCGCCGCCCTCAGGGCGAACAGCTCCGCACGGGTGCTGGAGCAGAGGCCTCCCGCCGCCACCTCCACCTCGAGAGTCTCCCCCGACGCGGTAAAGATGACGGCGCCGCCCCCTCCTCGCCTGACCCCAGCGTCCGCAGAGCCGTCGGACCAAATACACGTGGCCTGGGCTGGGAGCGCCGCCAGGTGCTGCCGCGCGGCCTCTCGTCGCGTCTCGTTGGAGGAGGCTCGACGACCGCCGGGTCCCACGTCCAGATTGAAGGCGATCGGGCGGCAGGTTGTCCACGGGAGGAGGGGAACCTCGAGGCGCGGCTCCACCGTCACTCCCTCGGCGCCCGCCTCGATCAGCGCCGATCGCCCCAGTTGTCGCCAGCCGGTGGTAGACCGCAGTCGAGTGGGTGGGTCGGCGTCCGCGACGCGGCGAAGAGGGTCGTCCTCCGGCAGGGCGAGCGCTCGGCAGAGCGTTCGCGCGGCCAGCGTCTTCCTGGTGGACCATGCTGAAGGGATGCCTGCCTCGGCCAGCAGGGGATCCCTGGGGGTGGACCGTGGGCATCCGGTCACCACCCGGGCGGCCGCCAGCAGCTCGCGCTCCACCAGCTGAACGTGTGACGGGGACGCGGCCGGGAGCCAGGCACCCGCCGCGTATTCAAGGGCTCCCCGGACATACCCGTTCGCGACTGTCCTGAGCTGCGCCTCGCGGAGACCCCAGGTCCGGCCGGTCATCCTCCGCAGCTGTGCCGTCCGCGGCCGGACCTTCCGCCGCAGAGAGTCGCAGTGGTCTTTAAAATGTAGAAGTCTGTCGAAGGTCACCCCCAGAAGATGTAGGCTGGTGCCACCGGTGACCTGCGTGCCGTTCACCAGGAGTTGCACGCCACGCTCGCCGGCGGGGTCGGCGGGAGCCGCGAATCGTTCGGCCCCCAATGGCGAGACCGCGACATGTACGAGTCGCCGCCCAGCGCCGCATACCGCGGCGGCGACGGAGACCGCGGACACGGCGGCTGTGCGCCATCGTCAGAGCCGGGCGACATCACTGCAGATCTGGTGACTGACGTGCCATTCGCATTCTTGCACCACTGCTGGGTCAATGTGCATGCCTGTGAATCAAGAGATATAATATCAGCGTTTGTTCCAGAACACATCTTTCCATTCATGTAGAACGGATCATAGAGGTCTTATATACATAGAGATGCCCTGACGCTTATTATCCTGCCGTTTTATTGGAGGAATTCAAGTTAGGGAATGTGAGCTGAAACATCGTGCGAGCTTGATTTCACGACTTTTAAGTGACAAATTTAGCTTTACTTTGGATTTATTTCCCCGAAGGAGGTTTCCGAAAACGAAATAGGATACGACTTTACTGAAATATTTTGACGACAGTGATGGTCGATGACCTTTGAACATCTCATTTTACTCGTTTTCTACCAAGGAGAATGCTGATACCATCGATCACGAGTGTAAAGCAGTCAGACGGCAGAAAATAAAGTGTTTCGACATTGGATGGGCATCTTCATGTAGATAAAATATCTATGGAACGAATGACTTAGAGATAATGCAGGCAATTACACCAGAACAAGAGACACAAAGTAAACAAGCTGATAATTATTCACTGGACCCACCAACGATAAATTCACAACCAGATTGACTAACCAGTCACACTAACGCCTTGACATAGGTACCTAGAATGTACTGTACATTGCAACCCGGGTCACATTTTGTTATACGATCTACAAGTTCCGATGATGAAGTTCGTTCAGCATGTGAATTCAACTACGCAATTTAACCCTCGCCCGCACATGCCACTTTCCCATCCTAGAACGCACATGGGGGGGGGGGTTGCCACCCCCGCGCCATTTCGTTCCTGCTGGAGATAGAGCTTCGCGGTAAAGACTAAAAAGATTTTTTTGGGAAGAGACGAATCCAATGATACACAGTTTTACCTTCTCAGGTCAGTCAGTGACCTTCCAGGTCAGGTCAAACTAAAAAATGTTGCTGTTTGGGGTCACCGTTGGATATCAAGTGCGCTGCTTATCATATACCGATGACGTTGACGTATTGGTGCCAAGCCAGCAAGAACCTCTTTGTTACACTATCCGACTAGGTTTTGGCTGGCTGAGGCCATTTCAGGTCAAGTTAGGTCAAGGTCACTGATATGTGTTTGTATGTCTGTGGGTTTGTGTGTCTGTACAACCTAGGTCATCTAAAAACATTGCGTTTTAGGCAAGCTGAATTTACTTTTCGTGAAGTTCTTTGACTGTATTTTTGGTAAATGTTCGAGAGAAAACGTACTGTGCCGCGGAGGAAACGGCAGCGATCGGCGGGCTCAGCCGAGCCTCGCCGCCCACGTGGTGTACTGGGGCCCGCGTGGTCATCTGGGGCACATGTGTGCGATGACCGGCCCGACGCGCCGGGCCGGCTGCCGCCGGCCGGCTCGGCAGTTCGCGACGCGACGACGACGGCGACGCGGCTCCGCCGGCGCAACGGCGCCGGCGTCGTACGATACGATTAACGTGCATTGTGTGGTGAATATTCAAGAAATAGACATTCATCAAAGAACTCTTTTGGTCCTCCGGTTAATGAAACGATTCGATCAGATACGCAATTATTAGTGAACTCGACGATCACACGAACACTTTGGTCTGCCGTGCTGGATCAGAGTGAACGATCACGATTCACACGAACATTTTGGTCCTCCGGGCCGGATGTATGTGAACTAGTGAGTGAATGGACGTACAGTCCGGACGCGAGTGCAGTGAAGGAGTGATGTCAGACGCAAAATCCGACGCGAAATCGAACGCCAGGTCGGACGCAAGGGCGGTCGCACAGTGTGACGCGAAATCTACGCGCAGCTCGCGGACATGCCATACCCGCAGCGAGACCTTCGGCAGCGCAGCGTCGTCCACCATCAGCGCAGCCCGCCGCCGAGCCGCGCTGAGCAAACTCGCAGCGAAGCAGGGCCAGCGAGCGGCCGCGGCAAAGGTGGAGCTGGCACGGCAAGAGGCGGAGACGCAGGCGGAGCGGGCGGGTCGCGAGGCGGAGACGCAGGCGGAGCGGGCACGGCAGGAGGCGGAGACGCAGGCGGAGCGGGCGCGGTAAGAGGCGGAACTGGCACGACAGCGGGCAGCTCTCGAAGCTCAACAGTTCGCCGACGAAGCGGAACGCCGTCAGCTGGAGCTGGAGCTGCTCGAGGAGGAGTATGACCACCAGCCATCTGCCGTCGACCGTCAGGCTCTAGCTCGGCCTGCTGCCGCAGCTCCAAGTGAGCCAGCCGCCCAGCTGCGTGAGCCGCTGCAGCCGGGTGACAGGTCCTCACGCACCCGGGACTGGGTGGAGCAGTCCTCCCAGTACGGACAACTGGTGAGCGCGCAGCCATACGACGACCGTCACCAGCAGGAAGCACGACGTCCGCTACAGCCCGTGAGACAGCAAACGACTCCACAGCTGCCTCGAGTGACCCTGGATAAGTTCAGCGGCTCCGCTCTGGAATGGCCGGGATGGATCGCGCTGTTCAGGGCTCTAGTGCACGATCGAGACGACCTGACTGACGTCGAGCGCCTGACCTATCTCCAGGCTCATCTCACCGGGCCGGCCAAGGAATCAGTGCGCGGTATGTTGTGCGACTCTTCTCTGTACGGTGAGGCTATGCGTGAGCTAGAGGAGGAGTTCGGTGACCCTGCACGGGTCATTCACGCGACGATGAAAAAACTGCTCGATTCGCGGCCGGTGAAAGATGGTGATATGTCGGCTGTGACAGAGTTGTCACGTGACCTTCGCACCGCGGTTCGTGTGCTACAGTGCCTTCACTACGACGCGGACATCTCGGCTGCCACCAATGTAACAGCCGTGATCTCCAAGCTTCCTGCTGCGCTGGCTTTGAAATGGGGCGAGCACTCTGTGCACAACGGACTCGTCCGCCCCACGCTCCCCGACCTGGACAGCTGGCTGCGCGGCTACGTGGCTGCTGGGCGTGCGTCCCTGACCCTGACGGGCCACCAGCAATCCAAGGCCGAGGTCAACAGTGGGGAGAGCCGGCAGCGGCGTGTTTACGCGACTGCGCTAGCGCCGGCCGCGCCCCGAGAGGTCGTAAAACCGAAAATTAGTGCAACCAGTAAAACGCCTTTTGGGCGACCAACGGAGCGAGCGAGAGGATGGGCCTTGCACGTGCGAAATTGCGAGGGGTTACCTCCAACTAACTTGTGCACTGCACCCTACTAACCGGTCTTTAGCGATGTGCCAAATTTCAGCGCAATCGGCCTAGCCGTTCTCGAGATCTGGAAGCGGCACACTGCACGTGCGCACGTGCAAGCGGGGTCCAAACTGACTTTTGCACGGCACCCTACTAACTGGTCCCCAACCGTGTACCAAATTTGAGCGCAATCGGCCCAGCCGTTCTCGAGATCTGGGAGCGCCCCCTGCACGTGCGCACGTGCTGTAGCACCCCAACATGCAGATGCAGATGAATTATCTGATGGAGACCTAACTGTGTACCGAGTTTCAATTCAATCGGCCCAACCGTTGTGCCGTTATTGAGGTTGCAATTTTGGGGGTTCTTAAAAATGTCCAACTTTACCACGCGCCACGTGCGGTGGTTGGCAAGAACGCATGGTGGCCATCACACCACAGAACTTTTACGTCCAAGTGACATTCAGTAAAGAGTCCGCTTGTCAATCGGATGTCCCGTTCCTAAGATATTAGCTTTTGAAGAGCGTCCCCACGGCCGGCCGGCCGGCCGGCCGCTCATACTCAGGATTTTCCCTTAATTCAGTATGAGACTCCGCTCGCTTCGCTCGCTCCGTAATAAAGGCAGCGCCGGTCGCGAGTGAGGACGCATGTGTATTCTGTCAGGGGACACATGTCTTAGAGCGCTGTGACAGGTTCCTACAGCTGACAGCGAGCGAGAGAGCAGAGGTTGCCGGTTGTAACGGACTCTGCTTCAATTGTCTCGCGCGAGGTCACATCAGCGCCGCGTGCCCGTCCGGTACAAACTGTGGACACGAGAGCTGTGGGAAACGTCACCACACGCTTCTGCACAACGGAGGCCGTGTGTTTCCACGGCGCAGTGCTGCCGGCAGCGCGCCGTCACCAGTGAAACATGTCGGCACTGCGGTGGTCGAGCCACCCTGTAAGGTGCTGCTGCAGACACTGCCGATAACGGTGCATGGTCCTGCTGGGCGCTGCACGACCCACGCGCTTCTCGACCTCGGGAGCCAGGTAACGCTGGTGACCGAAGGCCTGAGCGTCCGTCTCGGCATCTCTGGACCCATTGACAGTTCGGTCCTGAGTACCATAAACGGAAGTGAAAGACTCAGATCACGCCGTGTGTCCTTCGTGATCGAGCCTGTCAGCAGCGGTGGCACACGTCACGAAATACGGAACGCCCAAACGACGCCGACGCTGAGTGTGTCAAATCACGCCATGGACTGGTCACGGGAGAAGGGCAAATGGCCTCATCTCGCTGACCTGGATCTGCCGAGTGCGACTCGAGGTCCAGTAGAAGTACTTCTGGGCGCTGACGTCATAGAACTGATCGTGGCACGTGAGGTGATCGACGGACCACCGGGTGCGCCGTGCGCCGTGAGAACACTGCTCGGCTGGACGGTCACCGGCCGCGCGCCGGACCAGAACCTGCCAGTCAACAAGGACGTGCACCATATCCGTGTCAGCGAGGAAACCCAGGACGCTTCGGAAGTGACTCGATGGCAAAACGTGCCAGGGTCACTGAACTCATCGAACATAGGCAGCCGAGGCTGCTCGGTGGCTGAGGTGGCACCGGGCGAAGAGTGGGGCCAAGGTCGCGCCGTCCTGTCGCGCCGTCCTCAGGACCGGCCCGCCACGCCGCCCCGCCCGACAGAGCGCCCGAGAGACGAGGAAACGGCCGAAATGAGAGCACCAGCCTGCGTCATCAGGGGAGCGGAGCCGGCCATAAACCCCAGCCGGTTCTCATCGTGGCTCAGGCTGCTGCGTGTGACAGAGTGGGTGCGCAGGTTCGCTTACAACAGCCGCAGCCGGCAGCAGCTGATCGGCGGACGGGACCGCTGACTGCTGAAGAGCTGAGAAAAGCTGAGCGCGTCTGGCTGCTCAGCACACATGCCGAGCATTTCGGCGATGATATCGCCGCTCTCCAGCACGGAAGGCGGCTTCCCCCGAACAGCCAGCTGCACCGGCTCAACCCCTTCCTGGACTCGAGCGGCCTTCTAAGAGTCGGGGGCCAGCTGCGCCACGCTCAGCTAGACTTCAAGGTCAAGCACCGGGTGATTCTACCTGCACGCGGAGACATCACTCGGCTGATAGTCACCGATCGACACAAGAAGCTCTCCCATTCTGGCGCAGAGCACGTTTTGACTCACCTGCGGCACCAATTCTGGGTCATCAGTGGCACGGCCGCTGCGGAGCGGTACACACCTGCCTGCATGCCGTGCCGGAAACGGTCAGCCCAGCCAGCGCCGACGCCGACGAGTGACCTACAGCCTTCCAAGTGGGCAAGCCGGCCCCGGGCCGCACCTCCGGACGCTCACCACACGGGTGAAGTGACGCGCAGACCCGGCAGACGTGCAGCTCGACGAATTAGCGCTGGTGACAAAGGACAACCTGCCTCGCGGGCACTGGCTATTGGAGCGAGTGGTGACCGTGTTCCCTGGCGCCGACAGCCGAGTGCAGGTGGTCAAAGTGGCCACCGCCACTGGTCGGAAATTCGGAATAGGCGGTCGGTCTCTGGTCTCTGCCGTCTCGAGCGCGACGGTGACGGACAGTAAATGGACTCAGAGTGGTAATGTGCGCGTGTGAGACGACTGAGGTGAGTCGTTTACGACCCCTCTGTGCCGCCGGCGAGTAGTGTCGGAGTCTGGCCATCTATTAGTGTTTACTGCGTCCGCCATTCGCGGTGTTAACGTGTGCGTGTGCGAGAATGAGTCGTTCATTCTGTGCGCCGGTCATTTGTGTTTGGTGTTTAGCCATTAGCCAACAGCTGTGAGCCGTCCGACAGTCGCCAGCGTTCACACTGTCGCAGTGTCGCTCCTGGCTCATTTAGCCGGTTGGTCTTGTACGAGTTAGAAGTTTACAGCCTTAGAGTGTAGCAGCCTTAGATCGGGACCGACGCGCGGCGCAGCCGACGTAGTTTACAGTCTTAGCTTTAGTGGTCGTTTATTGCTGTACGATACAGACAGAGACACTGCCTGCGAGCAGCTGTTTGTTGTTTCGCTAATGTTTTCTCTCTTACGTTTAGAATTTCCGCGAGCGAGGCGAAAATCCGGGCCGGCCATGTTCGAGAGAAAACGCACTGTGCCGTGGAGGAGACGGCAGCGATCGGCGGGCTCAGCCGAGCCTCGCCGCCCACGTGGTGTACTGGGGCCCGCGTGGTCATCTGGGGCACATGTGTGCGATGACCGGCCCGACGCATGCCGGCTCGGCAGTTCGCGACGCGACGATGACGGCGACGCGGCTCCGCCGGCGCAACGGCGCCGGCGTCGTACGATACGATTAACGTGCATTGTGTGGTGAATATTCAAGAAATAGACATTCATCAAAGAAGTCTTTTGGTCCTCCGGTTAATGAAACGATTCGATCAGATACGCAATTATTAGTGAACTTGACGATTACACGAACACTTTGGTCTGCCGTGCTGGATCAGAGTGAACGATCACGATTTACACGAAGAGTAAAAGTTTCTCATTTTATGATCTAATTTAATAGGGACACATAAACAATCGGTGCACGCATCAGTATAGTATTAACCTTAAGTATTTACCTTAAGTAAAGGTCACGAAGGTGAAAACAAACTCTGACAAGCGTTATCAAGCATCAGATCAATAAGATCGTGTACCTGTGCCGAGCTGTGCCAGGTCCTGTGCGGTGGCGGTGAGCTGCTGGTCAAGTGCTCCTGCTGGCGTCAGGAACCGTAGCGCCTACTTGACGTCGGAGCCGGCTGCCTGTTGGCCGTGGCCGAGCCGGTGGGTCGCTGACACGGCCAGCCGTAGCGCCGACTGCATTTGACGCTCCTGGCGGCCACACAGACAAAACACTATGACCCAACACAGTGATAGGGCACACGAGGACCGCTGGTGGCAGTGTGACAGAGCAAACACAACCGAAAGTACACAACAGAAAGTACTAAGGATAAATATCTCGATACCTTACGAACTCGCCCTTACGAACAGAGGTACCTTACGATACCTTATATACCTTATACCTTACCTTATACCTTACCTCGATACCTTACGAACAGAGGTCTCGCCCTCCCGCAAACTTCGTTCCCCAAGGGTCGTGTTTAAGGGGGTTTTGGGGGGTTAAAAGGCCAATATTTTCCCAAATCGGCGTTTTTGGAAGAAATATCGCTATATCTCAGAACTTATAACAGCTAGAACAAATTTTAGGAAGCCATTCAAAAGCTTGGAACAAGCCCAATCGAACCCTATACTTAACTTGTGCTTAACCTGAACCTCTTAAAGGGACCCTCCCACCTTAACATTAGATTTGAGTTGAGATAGCCAAATTGGTGGCCATGGCCTGAAAATACCGGTTTGGGCACTCACAACATCGATAAATGCTTTAATTCGGAGATATCGAATTTCAAACTTGCAGTTTTCGGATTCTAAGGGGCTAATGCATTGGTATGCCCCCTTAGAATTTGTGACGTCAGCGGAGATCTAACGATTTTAAATCTTTTACTAAAACGTTTGGTAGCACGCGGTGGTATATGCTGCTTTGCGCGCAACAAATGCCGCACTTTCAAATAAAGTCGCTAGGAACAGCGGAGATCCCAAAAAGTAAACAAAAGTAAAAGTCTAATATCTTGAAAACCGGTGAATATTTTTCGATGAAATTTGGTAGATATTCGTTTTTGCTCTTTCTGAACCGAGCGACATCACTTTCATGCCAATTCATTAACTTTTTTGAAGGTGGGAGGGTCCCTTTAAGTCCTGTAGGTCAGTGGCGGCGGAAGGTAATTTTGGATGGGGGTGCAAAGTTTTCTCAAGGGGCCCCTCTGGAAGTTTTGCCCCCCCCCCTTTCAATTTTTTTAGTGATTTTTATTGATTTATAAAAAAACGAAAATTTTGGAAAACTATCCCCATGCACACAAGTTCTGTAAAAGGCTTGAAATTGTAGTGTGTTCCTACCTATCTCAAATAATGAAAGCATAAAGAAGCAAATGCAGCTAGTTTTATATCGGCTAATCTTTTAGTCTAGCCACCACCCGCAGCGTCTCAAACCACTTTTCTGGATCCGCAGTGGACCATTGAGCCTTGAGGGCACTACGAGACCGTTCCAAGAAGACCGTGTTTAGAAGCCCCTTGGAAGCCAACCACAAAGAGACTCCTCCACCTCCAGAGACCTACATGACTCCCCAGACTGAATGAGCCCTCCGATCAGAGTCGGTCCCTTGAAAGTTGCTGAAAGGTTTCAGAAGGTAGGATAGGCTCGAAAGTCTTTTGAGGGCTCTCAGAAACCGGCATCGAACCCCAAAAAAGCCTGTATGGAGGCCCTCCAAAGCCGGGATGGAGGCCACAGGAGCCGATGTTTAGCCTAAAGAGCCGGTATGGAGGACTGAATAGAGGAAAGGGGTCTCAGCGGGGCCTTCAGGGGCAAGCGTTTGAGCCCCAAAAGTATGTGTGGGGTCTTAGAGGCAGGTAGACCCCTGGGGTATGCACGGGGTCCCAGGAGCTCGCGTGTGAGCCCTAATATTCGGCTGGCGGTTACTAGAACCAGCATGGGGATTCTTAGAAGTCGTTTAAACCCACATTTCATGGGTCATGAGTCCCAAGGGTCGATGTAGGGGCCATAAAAGCCGGTGTAGGGCCCATAGCCCCATAAGTTCCGACATTGAGACTTTCAGAGGCCGGCGACAGGGCACCAAGAGCAGATAAAGTCCCTCAACAAGCCGACATGGGGCCTGAGAATCAGTGTGGAATTCCAGGAGCCTGCATGAGCTCTCGGAGACCTTCGTATTTCGTAAGGTCCACAAAGGTCGTTGGATCCTCTGAATCTGAATTCTGCGGGGCCCTCAGAGGCCAGCATGTCTCCTGGCACCTGCCTGCGTTGAGTTGAGACCCTCCGAGGCCGTCGTAGGGTTCTGCAGAGGCAACCGTTGGCCCTTGAAGCCTTCGTTAGGCCCTAGAAGCCGTCAAGAGGGCCCTCAGAGGTCAGCACGTTGGGTCTTAGAGACCATCGTGAGGGCCCAGAGAGGTCGTCAGGGCTCTCAGCCCCTCAGGGACCGTCCTGGGGGCCTCAGAAGTTGTGAGGGCCCTTAGAAGCCTTCGAGAGGATCATCAGAGGTCGTCATGAGGGTCCTGTAAGGGCCATCAGAAGCCGTCATAGGGGCCCTCAGAGGCCAGCGTGGCCCCTGGAGTCTCCTTGGGGCCCTGGAGTCTCTGTGGGACACTCAGCTGTCGTCATGAGGGCCCTTAGTAGCCGTTGTAGTAGCCCAGGGGACAAAGCCCTCAGGTGGGAGCCCTCAGAGATCGTCATAAAAGGGCCCCCTCTGAGGCCGTCGTGGGGGCCCTCAGATGCCGCGTGGAGCACCAAACGCGGCTCGGGACACTTCTAGCCGGTGTGGGGGCCCCAAAGACTAGCATGGGGCACTCCTGGCCATAATTGGACATCCCGGATGATTCCACATCAGTGTTCGTTTCCCGATCACTGGTTTTCAGGAGAAAATGTATTGGATGGTGCGACGGGCCCCTTGTACGGATTTTGGGGGTGCAAAAAGATATGTTTGCACCCCCATGTTTTTCGATGGGGGTGCAGCTGCACCCCCTGCAACCCCTATTCCGCCGCCACTGCTGTAGGTCACAAAAGGTCACAAGGTCGCGATTTTACTCATGCAGTTTTTTTGCTTATAACTTTTGATCTATTTAAGAGAAAGATAAACGGCAAACGCCATCGTGCTCAGCTTGCTCTTGCGCATCGAATGATATACAATTTTACTAGCTAAGTGTACTTAAGAAGTTAAGCACTACTTAAACACTTACATACTTAAGATGGCCAAAATGCTTAATATTGCATAGCATTCGATTCGTCTCGTCGAGCTGAACACAATGAGCCTACGCTGAAAGCTGTAGCTTAATTAGGTGCAAAGTTATAGGCGAAAACGTTACTTGACCTTAAGGTCATTGGGGGACCCACCCATAAGTTAACCCGCGCCCCAGTGGCGGTCTCAGCCAACTTCGCCCTAGTGGGGGGGGGCATATGTTACCACCCACCTCTAACTCAAAAACTAAGAGGGATAGAAAGACGCGGTAAAAAGCAGTCGATAGCTCTCAATGTGTACGTTTGAAAGTATTTCAGTCATTTTTCACCTTAGAGCAATATTGGGGTCACCAGAGGTCATCAAAGGTCAAAATTTGCCAATTGTCATGATATTTTTCAGAAAACATGCCGCTATCTCAGGAACTATGGTAGATAGAAAAACGCATGGAACAGCAAACGATAGCTTTTGAGCTCTTCTTTTGAAAACGTCATTATCAATATTGACCTCAGGTCAACGGTTTAGCCTCCAGAGGGCAAAAACTCCAAAAATAGCTGTTTTTACGAAAAGTGTTTTTCGACAATAACTTTTGACTACAAAAAGCCACGGCATTTCTATTGCCAGAATCGTGTTCCCCTCGCCGAGACGCGTCGAATGAACTATAATTTGACCTTGAAAGGTCAACTTGAAAAGTTGACCTCAGGTCAAGGTCATGACCTGACCGGAAAAGGTCATGTTGCATATCAGTCGATGCGTCTCAACAAGACAAACACAATGAGACCATCCCCAGCGTTCTATCTCTTTCCAATCGCGAGTTATTGGCAAAAAACTGTTTGTAGCCTCAAGTGACCTCAGATGACCTGTCTAGAGGCTATCAGCAAAAATGACACCTTGGTCATCACGAGTGGACTAAATCATTGTGATTCTGAAATATTTGGACTGTTCCTATGCGTACACACGGATCTAGAGGCATTTTCATTTTTCTCCATTGCCTTATAATGGTAAGGTCACGCCACTGACCTGACCTTAGGTCACGGATATAAAAAATCCGAGATATACAAATTGTAGGCGCCCATAACATCATGCAATCCACCAAGTTTGAAACCTTTCTGACAAACACTGCAGGCTGGACATGATTGCAAACTTTTTTTTAGGCTTGGTCAGTTAACTTGACCTGGTGACCTGACCTGACATGACCTGGGGTCAAAAATTTCACACATTGTCCAAAATTGATGTACAAAAAGCTACCCCAAGCGGCGCGGCGCTACGCGCCGCGCTTTTTTATTTACACGCGAAAAACGCGACAGGGTGGTAACATATGCCCCCCCCCCCCCCACTGGGGCGAAGGTTAAGGTCATAAGGCTAAAGTGGGTCTTAATTTCATTAAAGGTGACCCATAAGATAAAAAATGCTAAAACTGAGCTGAAAACCATTTGGGATTGAGAGACTCTTCAAGCTTTGGCCTATTGACAATACACTAAGAGGGCATGACCATAAAATGTCTTTGAATGACCTAGTTTGGCGCGGGAACCGGGGTCCGGGGGGCTAGCGGGGGCTGAGCCCCTCCAACTTTTCGGCTGGGGGGCTCATTATGTATTTGAGCCCCCCCCCCCTCCTCACAGCTGGAGGAATCAAAATCGGAAATCTACCAACATAATTTCATAGATTCATACAGAGGCACAGGAACCGGGGGAGGGGGCAGTGAGGGAAGCTTGCCCCCACAACTCTGGGGCTGTGGGAGCAGTGCCCCACAACTTTTCATGAGACCAGGAACTGTTAGGGCAGCTTGTCCTCCCCAAATTAGGGGTTGTGGGTCACAAAGCATGTAAGTTAAAAATCCACCTTCAATTCGTCCAGTTGGAGGGGCTCAAATAAATTAAGAGCCCCCCCCAGCCAAAAAGTTAGAAGGGCTCGGCCCCCGCTAACCCCCGGTTCCCGCGCCCGGCGCCACTGCCTATAACCTACACTTATAAACATGGTGTTTTCCCCTAAACTGGATTCAGATTGGGATCCTGAACACAAGTACATACTTCAAACAGGTTAGTGCACAATGTAGGGCAGCCCTGCATTTTGTTGAATTGATCAGGAGCCAGAGTACCTACATCATTAATTGACCCCGAGGCCTGAGATCTCAGTCGGGGAAAATATGGTAAAATCTGCTATTTTTAGCAGCCTGCTATTTTTAGCAGAAATCTGCTAAAAATGGGTACGCATGTGATGTCATCGTACCCAAATATAGCAGATTTGGGTACGGCCCCATACAAAAGCAGATCTGCACCCTAATTGAAGCAAATGCACATCAAATGCCTGGCAGATTCATGATGAGAATAGTGCTGAGAGTGATCTCTGCTATTTTTGTTCAGATCTGACTATTTTCAAATTCATTATTTGAAAATAGTCGGAACTGAACAAAAATAGCAGAGGACATTCTCAGCACTATTCTCATCATGAATCTGCCAGGCATTTGATGCGCATTTGCTTCAATTAGGGTGCAGATCTGCTTTTGTATGGGGCCGTACCCAAATCTGCTATATTTGGGTACGATGACGTCACATGCGTACCCATTTTTAGCAGATTTCTGCTAAAAGTAGCAGACTGCTAAAAATAGCAGATTTTACCATAGTTTCCCCGACTGATCTTGTAAAGAAATAGCAAGTAGCGGCTAGCCACATTTCAAGGGTAGCCGTAAAGCAGGCGTAACACTTCTTTTAGCAACCAAGGAGAGGAGCTGTAGGTTAGGTTGTAGGTTTTAGGTGGTAGGTTTTAGGTTGTAGGTTGTAGGTTGTAGGTTTTAGGTTGTAGGTTGTACTGGTTAGGTCAGGTTTGGTTAGGTTTGGTTAGGCCTTTTTTGGTTTGGTTTGATTAGAAAGCATCTCTGGGTATAGTGACCATCCGGCCCCGCTCCTTGGTTGCAAAAAGAAGTGTGACGCCTGCTAAGTCCGGCCCAAACAATCGCATGGCAAATCGGTACTATGCAATACCAGTATCCAACAAATAGATGTCTACAAATAATTTCCACTTACCTCACAGACTTCAAAAAGCTCCCAGCACAAAAAAAAACACAAAATAGTACCACCCAAATCTTTATCTCTTCCAAATCCCAACACTGACACCGCCACGTGGTGAGCCGTGCCGCGCCGATAACACCGCAACAAAAAACAGTGTTGTTGCAACTACACAAAACTTCATCATACTCTATTCACGGGTTTCTAAGATACATGATATAATTAATTTATTTTTACACTTTTTAAAAAATAAAACAAACGTCTATTTTGATCGCTTCACATTCCACAGACCACACTATAAATCATATCATGTTACGTTTTTGCTGCATGCCCGCGCTAGCCCGCGCTGATCAAGGCGTGCGCAGCCGAGCTTCAACACAGAGCCAGCCGATGGTAGCGCCGTCTGTGGCAGATATTGGAACTACGAACCATCAAATTTTTTAGTTTAGAGATAGATGGCGCCTAAGGTGGACAATTTTTGAGTCCACCGAAACAGACTTGTTCTTTCGGATACGTTTACGTCCAGCTAAAAGGTGTTCTGTGCGTTTATTTTTACGTGGACTTTTTGGGTCCACCAAAACAGAATGTCCACAGTAAATCAGAAAAAAATCTTGAAAAGTCCACCTAAACCAGAATTTGGAAAGCAATTTGTTTGCCAAGGTTGCAGGAGTTGGTACGAAATGACTTGGACGCCGCTGCGATGCATTTCGATGATTAGTTGGTCAGGGCCCGTGACAGAGGCAACAGCGTCTTTTTAGCTCTCGCCGAAAACACGTGACCAGACAACAGCTTAACAATGAATCGGTCAACGAACTGCTGTCAAATTGTCCACGATGTTCGTAGCTGCGTCACACGCAGGTTAATTTACAATAAACTACACGCGATTTTACATGTTGGTGCATTACATGTGTTATAGGGTAATTGATTTTTTTCAGCAGTTTTGGTGACATGGAGCTGTAAATTGAGCTTTTGGTGACATTAGCCTGTCTGGCGGGATGATCATCATTAGGATTGCGGCGGCCGAGCGAACGTCGCCGCTCAGCATTGTGGCACACGTCTCAAACTCTCAAATGTCCCAAGTACCTATCCGAAATGCCTTGATTGAACTGAACATTTAGCACTTATTCGCGCTTATTCGCGATGTTGAGTTGAACTAGTTATAGTGAGACGTGATAAAAATAACTGACTATTGACTGTGTGTAATGTGTAGCCATAAAGTTGATGTAGCGCAAGGTTAATGCAACTGAATGAGCACCCTGCAGTAATATGTGAACCGGTTCCCCATGGGCGGTTACACCCGTGTATTTCCATCTTTTGGAAGTACAGCCCACCGCTAAAGTAATGTAGGGTTTTACCAATCTCAACGGTTGGCTTTGACTGGCGATTGTTTAATGCGGAGTGATTGAAAAGAAGGTGTCAATAGCTAAAGTTGCAGCTGCAAGGGTGACGATACATATAAGGTACATTCAAAGTTTCATTGTAGTCTGGTTAATCGTTCCTAAGCTTCAGAAGCAGAACATACCCATGACTGAAACCGCACATTACTTCTGCTGTGGACTGTACCTATCATTATTCAGGCAATGTGTACATAGGCGGCGGAACGGGGAGGGCACCGGGGCACCGTGCCCCCTTTTGATTTTGACATTTTAACGCTCGCCCGTATAGGGGGGGGGGTCGAACGGATCCCCCTCTGTTTCTCGCGAATAACTCGCGCAAAAAGCGGTTGATCGCGACGAAACTTTCAGTGCCCTCGTGTTAATCAATTTTACACCTACCCTGAAAATTTCATGACGCGACCCCCCGTCGGCGACGCCCCTGCAACTGGGGGTTATGAGTAGTGCGGCAGCCAACGCCCCGATATAAAGCGATTATTACTGTTGCTCTAATGTGTGATCGCAATAAGACGTTATTTATACCTAGTCACCGTGGTCGCAGCCACCAATAGCAAATCGTTCCAACTAGGAGCCAAAAAGTCGGGCACTCAGGAGGGTTCGAATCGCTCTTCCCCCGCCGGTCAGTTAAGAGCGTTCATCCACTGCGCTACCTGTGAGCGTTCATCCACTGCGCTACCGAGCTATGAGCGTTCATCCACTGCGCTACCGAGAATGGTCCTTGTCGGCACAAAACAAAATGGCATTGACCCGCTGACCGCCAATGACAGTATTGTGACATTTGATCGCGTTTGACTGCAGCGACTGGTCACTGGTTTCGGCAGCTCAGTGGATGCACGCTTAGCGTCGTGGGTGCCCGGTTGGAGAAGCCTGGTTCAAACCGTCCCAGGTGCGCGGCTTATTTTTTGTTCCTAGTTGGAACGGTTTGCTATTGGTGACTGCGACCACACATTAGAGAAACAGTAAGATTTGCTTAAAGTTGGGGCGTTGGCTGACGCGCTATTCAAAAACCCCAGTTCACACGTCTCTGGATGATTGCTGTGCGAAATAATAGACACCAATGAGCTCAATCAAGGCCTTCGTACTTATGTTATAAACAATGTGGCTCTGCAACTCGATGCACGTGTGATATAAATTATATCGACTGTCCCAATGCCACGTTAAAGTGTGTCGTAGGAAATGTGCATGGCAAGTATATAGTATATGGCAAGTATATCGTAGGTAATGTGCATAGCAAGATGATAGGCGCCTGTCTTGGGAATAGGGCATTTTAACAACTGCTTTAGCGTAATTGTTAGGTAGAATAATTGGCGTCTTGAGACGCAAAAGTTAACCCTCGCCCGTAAACGGCGATCTGCCACCTTCGCCCATGCAGGGGGGGTTGGTGCGACCCCCCCCCCCCCTTGGCGTTTGAAAACGGAGCGTCGTAGAGCTTAGCGGAAAAGACCAACGGATTGCTTCCGCCGAGATCTCGCGATTGGTGGTATATTTTTTGGTCCTAGGTCAACATTTGACCTACTTTTGACCGGTCAAAGGTCAAATTTTCGGAAAAATGGACTTTTTTCAACTTTCGGCGGCGATTGCGGCAAAACGGTGGGAAATATCGACTTGAAACCTTCACTATCGTGTTCCTTGATCAATTCTCTATCGTTTGGTATGTATTTCGTTTCCCTAGCTCTAAAAATGGCGCGTTGGGAGCGCCGGAAGTCGGCAAGGTCACAGTCGGCGGCAGAAATTCGAAAAATAAAATTTTAAATTTTTGAAATCTGATTGTATTGTTGGATTTGGGAGGTCCATTTGCTCCCTATAGAAGCTAATATTGCTGCATATTCCCATTGAGGTGACAAGAATTAGCAAAATAGTGGTTCGGGCGCTTTTCAAAAATAGTACCGGACGCTGTTCCTCTTGTGACGTCATAGCTCCGTGACCTGACCTGACCCGGTCAAGTTTCTTATACCATATGATAGCCAATACTTGCCCCAACATGCATGGGAAGTTTCATCACGATCCATCAACCGATGTCCGTACCACCGGCAGGAAACCTCGGGCGTTGGCACTCAGTTTGTGAAAATCCGGCCGGAGGCTGTTCCCTTTGTGACGTCATAACTCCGTGACCTGACATGACCCGGCCAAATTTTTTTATCAAAAGATGTGCAAGGTTTGCCCCATAAGGTACCCAAAATTTGGCGGCGCTGCGCGCCGCCGTTTTTGCACTATTTCCGAAAAGCCTCAGGGGGGGGGGGGGGTTGCACCAACCCCCCCCTACATGGGCGAGGTTTAACTACACTCGCTCAGCCGCGCGATGGTCCATGCTCCCACCCCGCCTCACTCCCCAGCCCTCGCCAGCCGCCGCACCGCGCCGACCCGAGCCATGCCTCCGGGCTCGGCCCTCACCGCTGCGCTGACGTCACAGGCGACCCACATCGCCTTCTAGCCACCGACCCAGACCGGTGTCATACGGTGTGGGTAGGCTGTGCCGCTTGACAAGTAAGTGAAGCGGCACAGTCTACCGGTACCAGGCGGCTGCTGCCAATGCTGAGCCATAGCAGACCGGTGGATAAAGAATTGTAGAACATCAATCTGCCCCCGAGTGAACCAGGGTGCTATCCGTTACGGATGCGGAACGGCTGCGCACGAACTGGAATACGGAACGCCAGCCACTGACGTTCCCAGATGCCGTAAAGGGCATGCTTTTACATTTCAAAGTAAGAATTAGGAGAACAACTTTATCACCACTGCTCCTCTCTACGTGGCACGTCAGTTGATATCTGCCTAGTGCCTACCTACCTTTATGAAATGTGAAGGATATAACCAGACAGCTGGGGCATTCCACGATAGATCGTACCAGGCCCGTCACCCTCATCCCTCAGATTTGAATGAAAATTGGTACTAGGGGTAATCATAGGCTCCAAAAACACCTGCCAAAATATCAGACTTCTCAGATGAGAACTTTTTGAGTTATATCGCATAATATTTTCCAAACTTCAGATTGTAAGGGTGAGTTTGATGAGCTATAACTCAAAAACGAGCTAGGCAAACAACAAACGGTAAACAGCTTTGAACTGACGATGAATCAAAGATTAATACAGCTTTTTCAAAATTGGAAAGAAAAGCGTTACATATTGAAAAAAGTCGTAATATTTTTTTTAAATTGTCTATAACGGCCCTTGGGACCAAAATTTTTGCCATTTTTATTTCTTCAAAATAAACTTCAGGTCATTTAAAATCGACATGCAAAAAATTAGAAAGGTGTTCTTTCTATAAGTTCCTCATTTTAATGCATAAAAAATGGGTTTCCGGGTCGCCGTTTCGCCTCTAATGGAGCTAGAACCTTGCGGAAAAAACGAGCATGTGCGCCGTTACAAGATGCATCGAATGATACCACATTTTAAGGTCTCGGGTTCATTGGTGAACCCTGAGGTCATTTCAAGTGACCCAAATTACGGGTCCGGTTTTTGGTAGATAACTTCGCAACAAATGGTCGCAGAGCCGCGATTTTAGCATCTTTGTGTTTGCCTAGCTCCGGCGCGTCGAATGGTATACTGTTTGTTCTGGTGAGGTCAGCATAAGTCGCTGACCTCGGGTCAGCACACTGCCGTGTATTTGGCTCCGCTCCCCGACCGGGCGGCCCAGCCGGCAGCCAGCCCCCGGGCATCACGTGACCGCCCGAGTCCGCGGCAAAGCCAACCAGCGCACTATGGTTGGAAACGGCCTCACGGATGGCCGGGGGTCAACGCGAAAAAATGTTTTGCCCATAACTTTTTAATGCGTGGACCGATTGCGATGAAACTTTGCATAGGTATACCAGTGTCTTTTGTGCATCATACAGTAACTCATAAACGACAAGGTCCCGTCACGTCACGCATGTGTGACGTCATTATTGCAAGCATGTTATAAGTCGCCTAGGTCTTTCGTAATGTCATCGATATCGCGAGGCACTTTGAACATGTTTTGAATACTGCTATACTGAATGGATATTGTTGTTATGCTTTAGGGCGAGAAATATCAACGTAGTGACGCACAGTGTCCTACTATTTGTCATAAAGGGTCAAAAATTTGGAGAAAAAGTATTATTTTTTTTTTAGATTGGGCAAAAACGTAAGAAATAAAATGACGATCAAAATGGCAAAAAAATGCGTCTGATTAACCCGGCAGTTGTTGGGGTATTTCCCCACCCGCCGTTTGCCGGGGGGGGGGGCGTTCAACGCCCCCAGCCGATAACTCGAGAACCAATAGGCGCAGCGAAA